TTAAAAAAAAAGCTATGAAACTAATGGAGGATTTCTCAAGCTTCGTTTTTGGGGTACATAAATGATTTAAGCATTCTGCTCTGGCACAACAGTGGGAATGTTTCAAGCATTGAACCTCAGCAAACCATTGTCATGCACCTACTGTTTCAGGGCCTCCATAGGGGTATTGGCACAGATCAATATCCTCTCCTCCTACTTTTGGTCCTAAGCTCAGCTCTTTTCAGTCAGGCCAACCCTGTTGTCATTGGCCTTGAGTTGCCATGAGCCACGCTTTTGAACTACCAACCAGTCCCTCTTGGATATCTTAAACTGCCTGTTCCCTTACCGTCTAAGACTCCACCCTCAGCAGGTTTCCCTCCTACTCCTCAAGCTAAGCCTTCCTGACAGGTAGTGTACACCCTTCCTTTGCTCCTCTTCCTCCACCCTCTGCAAACGTCACTATTCTCCAGGGTCCGGCTGGGGTCACTGCTACCCTCTAGCTCCACCCTGATGCAGGTGCTCTGGGCCATGCTTACAGCTTCTCCTTGTGTTTCTCCTCCTGGTACCCCGAAGTCTCCATCCTCAGCCTGAATGGTCTCCTGGGCTGCAGACCTCTGTCGACTGCCCATGGGACATCTCCATCCTCATGCTCCACAGTTTTCTCACTTCACAATCACCAATCATACACATCATTCCCTGCCCTTTAGATGTGACCTTCCTCCTGAAGTCTTTCTCCTGGCCAAGGGCACCTGGCTCCTCATTTCATATCCTGGGAGCCTGCTCTCTCCTCCACCCAAGATACCCAACTGGTCACTCATCCAGACAAGCTTGCCTCTTAAATCCACTGCTCCCTCTCTACCCTTATGTCACCATCATCTGGACTCTGGCAAGGTTTCTTTTTCTCTTCACAAACAATGAGGCCTCCATCTGAGCCATATTCCTCATGCTGCAAGAATACTCCCCTGCCGTTAAAGCCTGCGATCCTCCTCCTCACCTGCAGTTAAGTCCAAGAGCTTGCATGAGCCAACAAACCCCCATCACCTGGCTCTTCTCATTCCCTCAAAATCAGCACCCCTTCCTCTGGTCCTAAAGAATGTGACCACAGGGCCTTTGCACATGTTTATATTCAGCCTCACATATCTCTTATGGCATCCTCTTGTTGAGAGATGCAATGCAAGTATGTCAACCTATGTGAAACTTGCCATTAATCTTTTCCCTACAGCAAAATGAATTGGTTCTTCCACCCTGATACCCTTATAAGGCCTTTCCCTATTTGAAACATCTGTTTATAGGTTTATCTTCCCTATTAATCATAGTGACTATCTGTTGGTATAGATGTTTGCCAAATGACTGCACACACATGAGCTAGACCAGAGGAAGGAGAGACTAGAGGGAGAACAGCAGGAAGGAGGTGACTGCAAGAGTCCCAGAAAAAGGCAACAGGGCCTGGGTGAGGGTGACAGGGATGACAAAGATGACAATCAAAACAATAGCACCCAGCACTATTAACAAGACCCAACACTCAGCCTCTACTAAGGCACTCTCCCAACGGCTTTATAAATATTTTGGCTCATTTAATTTTCACAACAACCCCATGAGGTAGGTACTGTCATTACTGTTATTTTCATTTTATAAATAAAGAAACTAAGGCACAAGAAGTCTAAACAAATGACTTTGAGACTAGAAAGAAAGCTAAATGTGATACATTGCAAATCACAATCTCCAGAACTGGATTCCTGCACAGATGGTCATGGCAAGGGGAAGAAGATGTTGGAAATAACTGTGTGCGACAGCAAGGCCATCGACCCGGCCAAGGAAAGAGAAGGAGCAGCATTTGCCCGGGCTTTGTTTTGTTTTCTTCCGGGGGACAGGGTCGTGTGGTGGGAGAGAGAATGAGTTCCATTTGGGGCTTGTTTGTTTGAGGTAACGGCAAGACATTCTGTCACATATAACTGTCACTGCCAGCCCCACTCTTCCATAGAACCATCTGAGGTCACTTCCATTTTACAAGCTGGGAAACTGAGGTTAGGAAATACTAAGTAACCTCAGATTAAGATTCAGACTTAATCTTAAAGTAGAGAAGCCAAGATTTAAAATCAGGTCTGTCCAACTCAAATTTTGCTCTACCCAAAAGGCCTGTTGGTCCTGAAACTGACTAATCACTGGAAGCCCTATGAGAATTTTTTTTTTTTTTTTTTGAGTCGGAGTTTCGCGCTTGTTACCCAGGCTGGAGTGCAATGGCGCAATCTCGGCTCACCGCAACCTCCACCTCCTGGGTTCAGGCAATTCTCCTGCCTCAGCCTCCTGAGTAGCTGGGATTACAGGCACGCGCCACCATGCCCAGTTAATTTTTTGTATTTTTAGTAGAGACGGGGTTTCACCATTTTGACCAGGATGGTCTCGATCTCTTGACCTCGTGATCCACCCGCCTCGGCCTCCCAAAGTGCTGGGATTACAGGCGTGAGCCACCGCGCCTGGCCTGAGAATTTTTTTTTTAATGCACATCCCCAGACCATGCCCCAGAACTACTAAATGTGAATCAGATCCACCAGGGTGCCGGAGTCTGCATGGCTGGAGTTTTCTGGGGTTGTAATGATGTGCAGTCTTCAGGGGTTGCTGCGCTGGTCCACAGGCCTCTCCAATGCGGGCCAGACCTTTGGAAATGCTTAGCGCTGGAGATGTCCGTCTTAGGAACAATTTACCTAGAAAGTGAACTTAAATCTGTGGACACAGATGAGCTCGCCAAGGGGAGAATGCAGAAGAAGAAAATTAGAGCGCTCAGGACAGAAGCCTGGTAAATATTCATGTAGACACGGGAAGAGAAGCTGGAAGAAGCAAGAGGAGAATGTGTTTTGAAAAGGAGGCATCTGCAGAGATGCTGCAGCTTCAAAATGCTGCAGAGAGCAAAGACCAGGAGGCTGGGTCACAGCACTTGGGATGTGTTTCTCCATGGGGCAGAATCGTGTTCTGATTTATTAGCTGATGTGAGGTCATGTTTATTCATCTGTTTTAGGGGGTTTTTCTGATGTCCCCACCTTCAGTTGGCAGCATTCACTGCCCCAGGGAAACTGTGACACTGTGGAAGGCAGAGAATGAGGAGTCACCTGCAGCTTTATTGAGGTATCATTACCATACCATAAAATTCACCCATTGTAAGTACACCATTTGATGATGTTTAGTAAAGTTACACAGCTGTGCAAGCAGCCCCACCATCTCTTTTAGAATACTTCCATCACTCTGGTGTGATTAAAAACCCGCCATCCCTGCATATCATCTGAACCCAGCAATCTCACTCCAGCTCCAGCGTAAGTCCAGGGTGACTTCTTGTCCTTTCCTACGAGCCCCTCTGCCTCCAGGAGGTCCAGAGATGAGGGGTCTCAGCCAGCCCAGGGCTTCCCTCTAGCTCAGCAACGCAAGTGGCTCCCTTAATCCCCCTGGGAACGGAGGGGCGAAGGGGCCACATGTGGCCATCTCTAGGATCTAAGAAAAACCAAACTCCTCTTCCCACTTTCACCACTGCTTGGGCCTAGAGCAGCCCAAAGTGTCATCAGCTTAAGAACAAGATATGGATTCTATCTGGAACCAAGGCTCCTCTTTAAAAGTTGCAGATTAAATGTTAAACTGTGGGAAAGTGGGGAGGACCGTGGCTGGGGGAGGAAGTGGCTACACAGAGAAGAACTGGAACCAAGGGAAGGAGCTCCTGCTTCAGGGAGACACTTTGGCTTGTATTTATTTTGACACAGTAAAGATTTCTTGCCCCTTAAGAGACAAGGTCACGCCTCAGATGGCCTCATGGATGGCGGCCAATGTTCTGCCCTCTGACTCCAACCACGTCATCACTCAGTGCTGTGCCCAGCTATAAAATTTTTGGAACCTGTCCCCAACAACAGGCCCCAAGCCAAGCCACAAGATACCACAGCCCGCAGGCAGTGAACACCTTACCTGCTATGCATCAGCAATACCTGTAAAAACCGGGGTAACAGCAGAGAAGTTGAAAACATACATCAGATTTTTTTTGCTGAGAGGGCCCAGGGAAATGTCAAAGGTTACAAAACACAAAAACTACCCTGTGATGGTATCAGCCTGGCAGCTGTGGAATGGAGAATCCTATATGCCGCCTGCTTCTTCTAAAAACCATCTCACCGGATGGTCCCATCATACTAATTAGAGGAAGGTGCTGACAGCATGGGAAAGATGGTGGCTTTGATGACCGAACATGCCATTGTGGAAATCACATGAAGAGTAACAGTGTCTCTGCAATGGAGCAGGAAAAAGAGAGGATTTTCCCTGCACGCCTTTCACAGTGGCATCCTGGAGTGCCCCAATTTTGCCAACTGCATTCCAGAGCTCTTTTCCTCACATGACCAGACGGAGCAAAAGTCTTTGTAATGACTTCAAGCTCAGCCAAAAGTAAACACACTCCACTTTTTCCATGGACCAATTCTAACCCCCAATTGCTAGAGCTGGCCCCTCAACAATCCAAATGGAAAGCCACCTTTCCTAATAAAATAAATCCTTTTTAACTCAATAATACATCTTGGCTACAAAGGCAAACATTCCTACAAGCTTCCTAGAAATTATTTATTGTACAGTAATGCTCCAGATCACCTGAGCAGACCCTACCAATGGAACAAAGGCATTCAAACTAAAAACAACACACAACCCTTGAATAGCTGTTCACTGAAGCAAACACCTGCACTCACAACTCTTACAGCACATTTTGTAGCACTCATGGGATTTGCTACTAAACACACACACACACACACACACACACACACACACACACACACACACAGAGCTCACCACCAGCTAACTGGAATATTCTTTTGGAAAACAGGCCGTGCTGAGACAGGTGCTGCTTTGAATAAAGAGTAAAATAACACTCGGGATGTGAGCTATCCAGGGCTTCTGCACATGCCAAACACACGTCTCACTTCTCTCCCACATTCCATAAATCCATGTGATCCAAACGCAGTTCTCCATCGAGTGAAAAAGCAGAGACTTGAGGATGGTGGACTTACCAGGTTGGAATTGGTGGCGTTGGAATCATCTTCTGGAAAGGGAATATAGATCGCTAAGGCCACACAATTGGCAAAAATAGTCAGTAAAATAATTATTTCAAATGGTCTGAGAAAGGGAGTTAAGGAAATTAATGCCACAGAAAGCACAAGTGAAACAAACATACATCTATGTATTTTTTAAAATGAATCAAAGATTCATAAGAATTTTGTTTAAACAATGCATTCCAAGCCCCTTGTATTCTGAAAAGAAACATATGCCTTTTTAAGTGCTTCTAGTGGGTCCCCGCCAAAATTTTCCCTAATATGTCAAAAGCAGTGGAGACCAGTCGCGTGCCAGAGTAAACACAGATTTCTAAAAACTTTTTCCCCTCCTTTTATTTATTTAGATTGCATTGGTCTTCAGTCTCCCCCATGTGTGCCTGGGGTTGCCTCTAAAGAGCATACCCTGCACCACGTACCCCGTTCCTTCACGGCTTACGCCCAACTGCCCATGGGCCCACGCCCACCTGCAACAGGGGACATGGGTTGAACTGGATTCCAAGACAGAGACTTTCCCAGGGTTTCATTGAAATTTGGAGGTTTTATTTTTAATCTCTTAAACTGAAGTTAAGAGTGGTTTTCATTTCTTCTCTCTCATTCTCTGACAGGTTCCAGAGATCCTGAAGACCCCCAAGCACATAGCAGGGTGCCTGTCCTGAGTGTAGGGAAGGAAGGCTGTGTCCTCTTTACGGCTGAGTCTCACGGAGAGCACAGAAACCCCTTTGGTCTGCAGAGGTCCCACTTCAACAGGCAAAGCTTTGATTCTAAGGCCGCCTACTTTTTCCTTGGTATGTGCTGGGCCCTAGTGGGACAGCCTGAGGTTCCCTCACCAGTAGCAATGCAGGCAGAGGTTCCCATGCCCTGACTTCTTCATCACATTTTCAGAGCAGGACACGCTCTCAAGAGAGAAATGAGCTAATGTGATAATACCCCTTCCAACGGGACCACCCCACACACCCCATGGAAGGCCAGCAAGGAGAAGCTTCCCAGGAAGGGCCGTCTATGCTCTTCCAGCTCCAACCCCACCTACCCCGCTCCCATTGCCAAGTCTGCAGCCCAGCTCGTGGAGTCTCACAGGAAGAGGAAGAGGGAGAGGGATGGAGAGCCGGGGTGAAGGGACCACCATAATTCTTTCAGGGAAATCCATACTTACAAAGTTAATGAATATCGAGGCAGAAAGAGACCACAGAGATTATCTACTCTAACCTTCTGTGGCCCAGAGAGCCTGAGAAACTTTCCCAAGGCCCCACAGCTGGTTAATCACCAGCTGAGAATAGAGCCCAGATTTCCCAATCACCAAGTCCAGTGTTCACTCCCCTGCCACAGATAGCCTCCTGATGAGTTCACAGGCAACCCTGGGTCAGGGTCACAGCATACTGAACGGGGAGGAACCCGAGTGATTATTTCAGCACTGGTTCCCCTCGGCCCTGTGGGTACTTCTGAGGATCCATTTTCCTGCAGAACATTTTCTATGCTACCTTGATATAAAAAAGATGGCACACAGTGGACCTGTCAATCTCCCAACTTTGCAGGTGTGAAAAGTAAAGCAGCCTGTCCAAGACCCCAAGCTGGCAAATAGCAAAGCCTGGACCAGAACCCAGACTGACTGATTAAGCTTTTACATCCTGCTGCCCTTGTGCTGGATGAGGCACAAGTGGTGATGATGGGAGACAGACGCTGATGCCGGCACCAGTGACAGTATGGACAGAAGCTGACCTCTGCCAAGAGCTTGCTCAGTGCCAGGCACATTCTTACGACCCTACAGAAATGCCCTGTGTGGAATGCATGCTTGTGATCCCCACTTTCTAAATGAGGAAACTGAGGCACAGAAGGGTCAGATGTTAACTTGTGCCAGGTCACAGAACAAGTGATAGGATGGGATCCAAGCTCAGGTAGTCTCAGTTTTAAGGACTACTCTATACTGATCCACTTTACAATTACCTGAAGGCTTTGTAGGCAGTTCTTTTAGCCCTCCTATCGCGTCACCTCTTGCCTCCCAAACCTTTTCTCGCCTGCTCAGGAAAGTGACACTGAGCCCACAGGCTGGTCAGTTTCATTCCCATCAGCTGTGCCTGTGCTCTCCCCAATGGGACAAGGATGCAACAACCCAGGCAAGCCAGACCTGTGAACACCCACCCAGAAAATGTCACCTCACTCCTTCCACCACAGCAGGGGACACCTGAGCTTGGGGTTTCTGGTGCTATCAGTTCCCCTCCCCTCATCCAGACTATCATCTAGCCATCCTTTATGCTAAAGGCACTGAGCTAAAGCCACAGAAGATCATGTGCAAAAGCAACCAGGCAGATAAGAAAAGCCACCGGTCGAAAAGCGGAGAGCCCAGGTCAGCGCTGGAAAGTGCTCTGTGTCACCTTTTGAGGCCCAGATTACTTTTTAAACTGCTTTTCCTTTCTAATGACAGTGTCAGGTTCTACTTTTTCAAGAAGAGCTTAGCTGGCTAGTACTCCAGGCTATCTCCTTCCCTGTCCTGCCACTCCTCCCAGGCAATCCTAGAATGCCACCCACCTGGCACTGCTAAGGCTGGGCCCCTTCCTCTCCTCCAGGTGGGAAGGCACATTTCCCCAAAAGGGTGGCCACAGCACCCAGGAAGTAGGTGTCTAGGCCCAGGTCCAGGTTCGGCATGCCCTGGGGAACCTGGTCTGCAGCCCCTGAACACCCTCCCTAGTGCCTAACTGGTCCTACCTAGTATCTCCTAGGACCTGCCTAGTCCTTCCTAGTACTATGGATGCATAGGGTGTGGGAAGTGCATTTACTTTGGGGTCAGGGGAACCTGAATTTGAAACCCAGCTCTGTCAATCACCAACTGAGTGATTTAGGGCAAGTCCTTTGGCTTCTCTGGGCCTTGCTGCCCTTCTCTTGGGAGTGCCTGGCCGGCAGGGCCCTCAGCTCTCCCACTCCCTGACTCCACTGCGAGCAGCTATGCAAGCAGTCCTATGGAGCTGACCAAAGTCAAGCCTCCCACCCAGTCCTCCGGGGACTGAAATCATGCTTGACCACTCAGGCAGGGCAGCCAGGCAGCCACAGCCACTTGTTTCAAATTGCATTTTCTTAAAATACTTTTAAGTTGAGGGGCTCGAACATTTATTTATTTATTTATTTATTTATTTATTTATTTATTTATTTATTTTGAGACAGTTTCACTCTGTTGCCCAGGCTGGAGTGCAGTGGCATGATCTTGGCTCACCACAACCTCTGCATCATGAGTTCAAGCAACTCTTTTGCCTCAGCCTCCCGAGTAGCCGAGATTGCAGGTGTGTGCCACCATGCCTGGCTAATTTTTGTATTATTAGCACAGACAGGGTTTCACCATGTTGGCCAGGCTAGTCTCGAACTCCTGACCTCAGGTGATCAGTCTCCTTGGCCTCTCAAAGTGCTGGGATTATAGGTGTGAGCCACTGCACCTGGCCTCATATATTTATAAAACTACATTTCTTGCTCAACAGAAACTTTCTTTTATCTCTAGGCTACCTTCTTTCAACCAGTACCTGAGACTTTTAAATCTTTCCATGGAAACTCACTGATGAAGCCTAATGCTCCCATCTTGGTCCTTGAAAGACATGACAGTCCTGCCTGGATGAATTCTTTTTTTTTTTTTTTTTTTGAGATGGAGTCTCACTCTGTAGCCCAGGCTGGAGTGCAGTGGTGCCATCTTGGCTCACTGCAACCTCCACTTCCTGGGTCCCAATTCAAGCAATTCTCCTGCCTCAGCCTCCCGAGTAGCTGGGATTACAGACATGTGCCACCATGCCCAGCTAATTTTTGTATTTTTAGTCGAGACGGGGTTTCACCATGTTGGCCAGGATGCTCTCAAACTTTTGACCTCATGATCCGCCTGCCTCCACCTCCCGAAGTGCTGGGATTACAGGCATGAGCCACCGCGCCTGGCCGCCTGGTTGAATTCTTATTACAAAAATTCCCACAGTCAGTACCAGGGTTCTAGCGTCATCTGTTCCTGACCACATGACCCTGGAGAGCCTCTCCTATGGGGCTGTTTCATCACTGGTGGAAGTCAGGGTGGATCTACAGAGCTTAAAGGTCCTTCCGGTTTCTACAGCCCCAGGATTCTGATGAGGTAAGGGGCTTGTAGCGACACAGTGAGAGTCCAACCCTTCAAAGCCACTGTCTCAGGGCCCGTTTGCTGGTTTCTATGCAGACAAAGTGAGCACTCCAGACAGTGGTCACAACTTTGTCTGCACATTAGAATTACCCAGAGAGTTTGCTGCTGTTGCCTGTTTGTTTTCATGCTTAGGTGGAGCTGCGTGGTCTGTTGTTTGTTAGAACTTTCCAGGAGACTCTAATGTGCAGCCAAGGCTGAGAACCACTCACTCCTCCAGGGCCCTTGAGCCAAGATCTGGGGCCCTGACCACTACACTCTTCATCTCCTGAGCCCCTTCACCCCAGAGAGAGGGAAGGCCATGAAACCATGCAGCGCCACGGCATAGGAGGGAAAGAAGGGAAGGAGGCAGCACCTAACTAACGACGGTTACCCCGACATGTGAGTGGGCCCCTGAGCAAGTTCAGCTACAGAAGATGATATTTCACAACTTCTTAGGCTCATTTTCTCAAATGTTGCTTATTATATGAAAAAACATCTGACGCAGGCAACTTATTTACAAAAAGATTGCTGGGCCCTGTCCCCAGAGATTCTGATTCATCGAGTCTAAGGCAGGGCCCAGAACTCTGCATTTCACAGCACCCCAGTGATACAGATGCAGTAGGCCCGAGGCCTGGTTTGTAACCCAGCACTGCTGACACAGTCTGTGGCCCAGGGAACCTTGGAGGGCTGGCCCCAGGGCTTAGGTCCCATGAGCATGCCCAGACCAAAGCACAAAGGATATTTCCATTCGACAATGCTGATGCAGGCCCTTCGGATGGGGTTCTTCAGGGTCAGGCAGAGCAGGGCTCGGGGCGGGCGTGTGGCCGTGGTGCTGCCCTGCTTCTTGGGTTTCCCATATTGCTGCCGCTTCCGCTGCGTGGAGCTGACCGTGGAGATGGTGGCATTGCCAGCGCTGCCCATCAACTTAGCCTGCCGGGCTGCGTCGATGGCTGCCTGCCAGGACAGGGCAGCCCCCGGGGTGGGGATGTGCTCAGGGGCCAGCCCCGCCGCTGCATTGGCATTCATGTTGGCATGGGCGGGGCGTGGGCTCCCATAGTTGGAACCTGTGGCAAAAGAGAAAACAACACAACAATTACTAGACAGAAAACAGAAGCACTTCCGACACTCTCTGGACCCCAGACTCACAGTTTTTCAAAGCTTTATTTCAAGCTACTGCACTGGTTAGGAGGTGTCACATGGAAACATGAGTGTGAGATGCTGAGGGAAGAGGGCCAGGATCGGTCCAGTCCTGGTTCGCTGGGTGACCTTGAGCACGTCATTCCCTTCTAGTCTCTGCCTCACCTTAAGTGGGCAAGAGGTGAGATCCGTGCATATCAGCACATATGGACCTCTAATACATATTTACAAGAACACATGCAAATGAAAGGATATTCATTAAATAGCATAGAATGACCGTTTAAGGAAGGTGCGGAGGAAAATGAGAATAAGATGTGGGGGTAAGGAGGAAGCATAAATGAATGAGTGAGTGAATATGAGAGGTCATTGCATGAAGCAATGATGAAAAAGGTACAATGAACTAGAGTGTGATTCACTCAACTGTCTGTACCTGAGTTTCAATAAACAAAAATACATATAATAAAATGAGGAGGCTGGACTAGAGTAAGGTCACATCCAGCTACCTCAAAGCCATCTGGGCTTTAAGTTTTGGTTGACCAGGAGGGGATAGGGGAGCTCTGATGGTTTTAAATCATGTCAACAAATCCCTTCACATCTGACATCCCTTTCATTGAGAAAGATCTAGGCCCCCTCCTCTTGAAATGAGGTCGGCCTTTGGTGACTGTTTTACCAATAAAGTACAGCAAAAGTGACACCATGTGACTTCCAAGGATAGGTTAAAAATCAACAAAAAAGGCAATATTGCATCCCCCTGACTGTCTCGGGATGGTTGCCCTGGAGGAAGCCAGCCCCAACACAAGGCAGCCATTCAGCCCTAAGCTGCCATGCTGTGAGGAGGCCCAGACTAGCCTCAACAGAGAAGCTATGTGGCAAGAGAGAGTCCTTGCCAGCTCCCGGCCACCCCAGTCACCATCTCACTGCCACCTCCAGGAGAGACCCCACGTCAGGACTGCCCAAATCAATAACTTTTTGAATTCCTGACCCACACAAGAACTTCCTGAATTCCTGACCCACAGAGACTGAGCAATAACAAGGTGTCTGCTGTTGTGAGCCACTTTGTTTTGGGGTGATTCATTAGACAGCATTTGCCATCTGGGAAAGGGAGCTATGAGTGGCAGGGGTTGGTGGTGTAGGGGAGAGGGACAATGTCAGGAAAGAAACCTGATTGGAACCCGCGCAGCCCAGGGTGCCCACCTGCACAGGTACAGCTGCACTGCTCTGGTGTCAAGGCAACAAAGCTCTTAGACGGTCCCTAAGACAGCACATATGCTTGGCAGACGCTCTTTGGCCTGTTAGACTGGATGCCTCGCTCTAGAATCTGTAAGTTTTGCCAAGCGATCAGCTCAGCCTGATCCAAACCTAAATCTCCCAGAACACATGCATGACCTTGAGACTTGGTACCGCTAGTCAGTTGGCCAGGTACCACAGGATCAAGAAAAGCCGCAGAGAAGAGGGTGCCACTGTGGGTGGTGAACTTGGCATCTGAGGTCACTTCAGCTGCCTGGGAGACTGGGGCCAGAGCAGCCAGACCAACTGCATATACATCACCTCCAAGCCCGCCCACAGTGACCTTTTCTGGTCCACGGGCACAAGGTCTTCCAGGGAAGCCATGTGTCCTAAGGTTGCTGGCTCAACATTATTGACCCCCCTACCTCCTCACCTGTGCCTAAGACACAGATGAACTTGGCGCCTCTCCCAGCCACCTCTCCAACTCTTACCTTGGGCTGATCCTTCTATGTTGACCTCCAAGATAACTTTACTCCCCATGTGACCTGCTTTCTAGAACCTATCACCCCCATCTCTATCCCATCCCCGCAGGAACCTGTTAAGAGCACATGACCCAGCTTAGCCATGTGAACTTTTTCACCGAGAGAGTCCACCCCAGAGACAGAGCCCCAGCAACCTCACTAGATTCCTCAACCAGCCACATCTGAAGTTAGCCCTTACCTGAGCCACACACAGGTGAGCCACACGCAGGTGAGACAGGTATGGCCTCTTGGGGCTGACCTCCATTATGGCTGTGCTGCAAGGCTGGCTGAGCCTCCCCTTCTCCAGGTGATTTTCCCCCACCCGCTGTGATGTTTAAGTGACTTAAATAACTTAGCTGAAGCTAATGTGAATTGAGTCTCTGTCCTTTGCAACCAAAAAACGACCTAATACGCTTGGTCAGTGCCCAAAGCTTGGACCTGGCTGGGCTGTCATTTCTGCTGGATTCCAGTCTATGTCTTTTCCGTCACACCGGTGACAGACAGTAAGTTTCAACTTTTATGCCAATTGATTGATATCAAAATCCAAAATGATATACTTAAAGAACTCTGGGGATGGTAGATTAGTGTGGCCCACTGTGGACACAAAAGGCAGGGAATGGTATCACTCATGCCACGTAGGCACCACCCCTACATGATCCCAAGAGGACTAGCTGGTCAGCTGCCTCCTGACCCACAACGGTTGCCACCTGCTCTACCGCCAACTGGCCCCTGCACATTACAGCCCCACCTCTACTCCTCAAGGCCTGGAAAATTGCCTCTGCCATGCCCAATTCATGGCCGCATTCTCAATGTGACACTGCTGCTCACCTCATCATATATTCCCTTCACCTTCCTCCTGTTCTCTGCCCCAGGGATAAACTACATTCATCAGAACATCAGGCTCACAGAAGACATGACACTCCCGACAATGAGACGTCTCATCTCTCCCATAACTCATCCCTATCCTCCCTGCCCTCACTGTGTAGATCCCAAGCCTAAAGCGACGAAGACCCTAATGAGGCCAGGACCTTAATGTTTCTCATAAGACCCAGAGGGAAAAGATGGAAAGAGTGCATTTGAATTAATAAAGGCACCCAAAACACAAGCACGGCTTGAACACCCAGCAAGCATGCGTGTCTCCATTTAACACATAAGAAGACAAAGGAGTGTCTGACTCATTAAAGGTCACAGAGTGCAGCGACGGAGGGTTGCTGCAGCAGGCACAGGGCTCATGGTGAGCTGCCAGACTCCACTCCTGCCTCCTCAGTCCTCTCTCACACAGTCCACATGCACGCACGTGCCCGCGTACATGGTGACAAACAAGGCCCACACCTCCTCCTGGGCTTCTCCAGGCCTCGAGATACAAGCAGCTGCATTTCTGACCCCAAGAACATCCTTTCTGCTTACTATGATCTCCACGTGACAGTGTGCACTATTCCACCCGCCCCTCAGTAACCTTGGGGAGCCCCTTAGGCAAAAGTGGAAAGTGCCCATTTCCACCTGCTACATTGGAGCCACTGAGTCCAGAGCGGCCTCGGCTCCTGCCTCTTTGGCTTGCCAGGGAAGGCTGGAAGTCTAATTTTGCTCCATTCAATCTGTGGTATATAATGTTTTCTTCCTAGACTCTCTGCTTGGCACTGACAATTTTTTTTTTTTTTAAAGACAGAGTCTCACTTCATCACCAGGCGCCAGGCACCAGGATGGAGTGCAGTGGTGCCATCTCAGTTCACTGCAACCTCCGCCTCCTGGGTTCAAGCAATTCTCCTGCCTCAGCCTCCTGAGTAGCTGGGACTATAGGCATGCACCACCATGCCCAGCTAATTTTTGTATTTTTAGTAGAGACAGGGTTTCACCATGTTGGCCAGGATGGTCTCGATCTCTTGACCTCGTGATCCGCCTGCCTCAGCCTCTCAAAGTGCTGGGATTACAGGCATAAGCGACCACACCTGGCCTGGCAAAATTTAATAGACTAACTTTAGTTCCTAGACTAACGTCTCCTTTTCCCTCAGATACATAAAAGCTGCCCTGTCCCTAACTGTTGGCATTCCCAGACCCCAATTCACTCATGGCAAGCCCTCCATGCCCCACACCTCCCCTGAAATGACTGTCGCCAGACCCTAATCTTTGTAATCACCCCCATGTATTGCCCTTAATCCCCACCTCTCATACAGGCTGCCAGTTCCCAAAACCAAGGAGTCCCAGAAATTTCAGGATAACACTTAGAAAGAGGACAGGAAGCCTCAGCCTGAGAACACACCCATCACCCAGAAAAGCTGTGTGTGGGGCGCATCCCTGCACCCAGAGCACAAGGTGGAAGCTTCAGGACGGTGGCTGGCCGCGCAGAGTCCAGGGCAGCTCTGAAAACCACATCCCGGTGGGCTGCCTTCTGAGACCTTCCAAAATTCCATGGGGGCCCGTATTTATATTGTAAACCGTTCCCAGAGCACAAGGACCTCTCTGGAGCACACCATCTGGAGAAAGCACATATGAACCAGCCCTTGGGGAAAAACGGAATGTCAACCTCCCTAGCCAGAGGCCAAGAAAACAACCTACACTATTTTCGTCCTGGCAGCTCTGAGTATTGCTGCAGTCCCATGACAAGACTAGGGCCCTGCACAGGAACGCGGAGCCACACACAGGTGTGACAGGTATGGCCTCTCGGGACTGCTCACCTCTGGGCCTGGGCCTCCGCTTCTCCAGGTACTTTTCCCCACCCAGTGTGGTGGATCTCACCCTGACCTGCACGTATAGGCCAGTCTATAGCAACACTGCCCAATACAATGTTTACAGTAATAGAAATGTTCTATCATCCTAGGTTGTCCAATGCCTTAGCCACCAGTCATATGCAGCTCCTGAGCACGTGAAATGTTCTATGAGTATCTCTGGGTCACCAGCAACAGGGTGGCACAACCACCCAAGACTCCCAGGAGTGGAAAATCTCCATCTCTGGCTCAATGTTTTGAACCCAGAGTGGTGCCATGAAGGTAGGGCAGGCAGCATTGTGTCCCTGATGGCTTTTGTTAGCACGAAATAACCACCCAATGCAAAGAGACCAATTTTCAAATTATAAAGCTGATTCAAAGCTCAGGCTCCTGGCTGCCAGCTGAAAGGATGCCACCATTTAAGTCTGTTCCGGCTCTGCCTGAATGGGCTGTTTCCACGGATGCTCCTACCCCTGAACGAGCCCCTGAGCAGTTGCCTAGCAGATCAGACCACACACCAACAGGTAGGTGCCCCCCAGCAGTGACCTCATCCCCAGACAGAAGAAAATGCCTCCCACCTGTTAAATGGCCCGGCTCCCCTGAAGACAGCATCTGCATCCTCCTCTTGCACCTAGGAGCCGCTGCTGGGGGCCAGGACAAGGGAAGGACCCCAGCATAGTCTGGCCAGCCCCATGTCATTCTCCTCTGCAAGGGTCCAAGTCAGGAGTCCAAGTTAGGAGTCGGTGGTGTGTGCTTCCTGGCTGTCCCCTGTGAGTGAGGGGCCTGGTGCTGAGGACTTGGAAGGTGTTCAGTGATGAAACAATTGATTTTTTTTTCTTTAATCCATCTCTATTTCTGCACCTGATTCAGGGTCGTACCCCAGAAAATGTTCAATATCTATTTGCTAATGACTGTGACAATAATGTTGTCATGATACAGATGAAGGTGGGCTAGGACACTGTAGAAAGAGCACTGCTGGAGTCGCTCTATCTACCCCTAAAGAATGTGTCTATTCTCAAGCCACATGCTCTTCTACTGATTTCTTGGATGTAACCACAGGGGAGAAGTTTGGGGGAAAGAGGCTGTGAGGAAGATCTCTATCTCCCACGCCTCCACCCTACTCCAGGCTGCTACCTTTCTCTTGCCCAGAAATGCTGCAGCAGCCCCCCAGCATTTCCCTCATTCCATGCTTGGCCATCCCCAAGCCAATCTCCATGCAGCAGCTAACGTGACCTTTCAGAAACAGAATTTGTAAATCGCGCCCTGTCATCCCCCTAGTTAGATCCCTTCAAAATCCAGACTCCTTGCCACAGCTTACAACACCTGCACAGACTGGCCCTGGCCCGCTTCTCTGAACTCACCCCACTCCCCTGTGGGCCTGGTCCAACACACTCCTGACACAGTGGCTCATTTCATGCCTCAGACATGCCAAGTTCTTGCTTGCCACAGTGCCTTGGCATGCACTTGGAATGTTCTTCATGTTCTTCCCTCTGCCCTTTGCTAGGCAACCCCTTCTCACATTTCAGGTTGGGGCTTAGGTGATCCCTTTTTCAAGCCTCCGCTTCAAATTAGCAGAATTCAAACACTAGCTGCAGCGTTCTCCCCACTTCCCTGCCTCCATGCCACCCTTGAATAAATTTGCCCAATGCCCCTGGGATTGTAGAGACCCCCAATCAGCCATGTGTGTAAGAGGAGGTCTGGGGCTACCAGCCTGCTCCAGCAGCAGTCACCCTGCTTGGCCTTGGTGCCTTCTGTGAGTACAAAGGCCAGTCACTCCTCCACCTTCGTAGACACAGACACGCAGACTGATTTAGAGAGAGTAAGCAGCCACAGCTCACTCTTAGAAAAGGAAGAACTACAAATGAATTTCCCCTAAAGTCCTGACCACTGAGCAATCTCTGCAGGACAAAAGAAATGCCTTCTCTCAAGCCGACTTGTCACCCAGGACCTTTGCAGAAGCCCTCTTGGCTCTTAGTGTTATCTTGCTGTAGTGACAAGGGGCCTACATTCCCCTTAAGAGCACAGCAGACAACCTGGAACAGAAACCGGACTTCCTCTGCCCACTAAAGGCCAAATGACTTGAGAGCAGGGCCATTAATCTTCCCTATCTATTGCGGTACGAAGACAGCTGGAGGACGTGAACAGAGAGGACACCGTCTTTTGGTCTTAGATGATAACCTGAGGCCCTGGCATCTCAAGCCCAATGGCACTCATCTCTGGAAGGATGGCGTGTGCTGGACACCATGTGGTGGACGAGAGGCTGGAGGACGGGAGGTCTCGGCAGCTCTTCCACCCTCCTCCTACTGTGTCCTGCTGGACTGCGGGGGCTGCAGAGCTAACACAATGGCTCCCAACCTCCCTTGCAGCGAGAATTCCTGACACAACTTTTGCCAGTAAAGAAATGAATCAAAACTAAGTCAGGTGGGGAGATGTCTATTTTGCAGGTATCGAGCTGGCAGGGCCAAGCCAGTGGCTTCCTGATTCCTGGATCATGCATAAGGTGGTGTGACCCCAGAGCCAGCCCTTGACACAGCGACCTCCAGGTCCCCATAAATGTACCCGAGCCGCAGTTCCCTCCTCGGGCCTGTTCTGCAGCATTGTTTTGAGAATCATTCCCACAGACCCAGCCTTAAGCCTGCTCTTGCAGCACTTCCAATTATTCAATAAGCCCCTAAATTCCTGTACTGACTATCTTTCCTCTAAAAACAGCCAAGGAAGTTTCTGTTATAGGCCTGAACCCTGACTGAGATATATAGACCAGTCTGTAACATCACTGACCAATACAAAGTTTACAACAACGGAAATGTTCTGTAAGCCCAGGCTGTGCAATGCCCTAGCCGCCAGTCATATGCAGCTCCTGAGCATCTGAAACGTGGCTAGTGCATCTGAGGAAATGCATTTTGAATTTCACTTAATTTTCAATAACTGCACATTTAGATAGTCACACGTGGCTGGAGGCTCCCACACTGGACAACACAGGTTGTGCTGTATTAAGAGGAAGTACTCTTGGGAAGAGGGTGTTGGCGAAGAAGTGTGAGAAGTGGGGGTGACGACGAGCAGAGCACTGAATTCACAATTGTGGGAAAACTTTTTAAAAAGGCAATCGAGAATGAATTCAGATGTTGTTGGGTGGGTGGATTTTTGATCAGAAATTAACCGCCCTATGCAAAAAGACATATTTTCAAAGCATAAGAGACTCTAAGATCCAACAAACAATGTAGAAACCAAAAGTCCTTTTTCAGTGTCTAATATGCTCATCACATAAATGAGAGATGACTTTCTTCTAAATGGGCAAATCGGGAAGCTGGCATTCCTCCCCAGCCTAAGCGAGAGAAAGCCCAGGACACCCCACCTGAGATGGAAACGCTCTCCAGCGTGAGCACCCACTCGTTTCAGGACACCCCAGCCAAGGTGTAAAGAAACCCTCTCGGGGTGGGCGCCCAGTGGTTCCCGATGCACCAGTCGCCATGCTGTGCATCTGACTGCGCTTCCTCCTACCTGAGCTATTTTCACACCGTCCCCAGCAGCATTCTGTCACTCTGCTCACCCTCCTTTCCCCACCCTGCTACAGACACAGTTCATGAGAGATGGGGTGCCCAGAACAGGCCCCATGACCACAGCAGTCAAATGTTCTCCAAAACAAGGAGACTGCGAGGGCACCAGGACATCTGCCACTCTCTCCCCAATCCAACTGACCAGTACTCCCTCAAATACAATTGTCTCTTTTCTCTTCTACATCCCACCTGCCTCTGATGACTGCGTGAAGGCAGGGGAAGGCAAATAGCACTTCAGAGGCCCAAGGCAATGAGAAAGCAGGAAAGCTACAGCATCCACACCTACTAGTGATCCAGCAAACCACAGCTGCCCACTGTTCTTTACGGGGCAGCTGGCTGAAAGAAGGTAAAGAAAGGAAAAGGAAGCCTCGTAAGGAACCCCTGGAAGCAAACCACCCGCAATGCCCACA